TCTATACTTATAACTCTTTATTCAAAATTTAAGGGATGCTAATAAGAAAACAAACTAACAAAACGACTTTGTTGTTTATTCATATACTCTTTATTATTTTTTAATATAAACTTCATAACTATTGGCTTAAGTTTAATGTACGTGCAACTTACGTATCAAATGAATCTTGAGTCGGATAAATCGAGAAACTGTTATGAAATAATAAAAGAAGAAGAAGAGTATTGCAGGGCAAAGTAGAGAGAGGAAAAATTCTCATTGATTTTGGGATGAATTACAATGGAATAGAACCCTTTATTAATAGGGAGAGGGTGACTTAGCCACCAAGTAATAAACCATAGAATCTCTCTAAATATAGACATTCACCATAAATAGAATTTTATTTATAATACTCCCCCTTGAATGTCTATTCAATAGATAATGTGCCTCGTTAAAACCTAACTAAAATAAAACCCAATGGGAAAAAAAATTCTAGAGAAGGAAAAAGAGTACACATATCTAACAATACGCCTTTTGGTTGCCTCGTTAAAAACCTTGCAAGGAAAACCCAGTGGGACAAAACCTTGTAAGGGAAAAAGAGTGCAACGCGCATTAACTCCACCTGATGAGAGCATCAATTCACATCTTTAAGCATTTGCATTCCAATCTTGTGCACCATCTTCAAAACGATCTTTGGTAGAGACTTGATAAACAAATCAACCATATTAACTTGAATGAATATATTGCATCTTGAAATCATCATTCTTGATAGAGATATAACATCTTCATATAATGTCGTGGAATGACTCTTCAATATCTCCATAGAGGTATTCTCGCTATCATCATGCTTATAGTTATAGCAAGATACAAATATGCACAAATTGCACTGAGAAAGTGGTACTTAAAGATCAAGAATTGTATATGCTTTAAGCGACTTAAATCCTTCATGAATTGTCATATAAGTTAAGTCATATAAGTCATATAATAGACTTTAGATGCATATCAAGTTTTCATGTCATGCTAGACATATAAGATATCGAAAACTGATTGCACATACCATTGACTTTATACTTTCAAGTATTTAAACAACATAGACAAAATTATATGTCTTTCATATGGAATCAATTCTACTTGAATTTTGTCTCTTCCATTTGACCAATACTTTTGTGTCTATATTCGATAGACTTAAGATCCTCATCTATACTTAGCGCTATGATAGATGTCGTCGACAAACATTTTATATCGGTTTCAATATTTTTCCATAAAGACATAACATAGAGATCTCTTCATTCATATATTCAGGTATCTGAATCTCTCATGAGATTTTATGAAGTGTTATGTCATGTGATCTTCTAGATCACTTGCCTCCTTATTATGATCACTTTGATCATTTGCTCATCTTCTTTATCAAGAAATTTTATTTGAAACCGATTTGTCTGTATGCTTTAACCGTACCATAGACTTTGTCCTTCTAGGACTTAATATGAGCATTTGCAATGAGAATATAGTTACTTTCTTTGGGTCAGCAAATGCGTCTAGCATACTTTGCAATATATTGCAGATGAATTATCTTTTTATGAACTTCAAGTTCATATTATCGTATTCGAGGATCTAGATATACACACGATAATTCATTCCACGTAACTTTTTCTCAATTGTTTGTCGTGTCTCCCCCTCATGTTAGAAAAACTAACTTGTTTCCTCAACTTTGAGAACTCATCTTTGTGCGTTATGGTATTAATCAATATACACTGCACATCAATAATAATAAGATGGAATTATTTGGTTCATGGCCCAGAACCACTTGTGAGGGGAGAATATAATATACTCTCGTATATAACGTATATCAAACTGATATAGATAACTTTGTTCTCATAAGCAATAGTTTAGCTATTAAGTGGAGGCACTCAATAAATTATTTTGCTAAACCAGTTGTGATGTAAACCAACTTATCAAGATGAACTTCTTGAATAGAAATCTGGAAATTATGCTCGAAATTAAACTATTGAGCAAGTTACCTCGCAAAACACCATGTTGCGAGTTAATAATAATTGCACATGTAACCATCTCATAGATGCATCTTTTGTGGTATACATGGCAGGTGAATGGGCCCATATTCACCTTTGATATTTCCAACATTTATGGGATTCAATCCTAGTTTTAGTTGGTCTATTAATTAATGAGAACAAGCAATATAAGAGAATTCGTAAAGAACTTTCTAGTTCTTTAATATTTACCCATGTGAATTCTCTATTATTTTTGCACATCATACTTAAAATTGATATGGCTAAACCAAATGCCAACTGAATAAATTATCAATATTGATAAACTTTAAATTTATACCATGACGTGTGCAATTATCAATAAACTCCAAGTTTATTATGATATGAATTTTTATATTAATAAACATCCACTTTATTGTGGTATTCTTTTATTTGTGTAGTACAAACTGGAGAATAAAGCGGGTAGCTTTTCACATATATATTATCCCACTACAAGTTGTAGTAATAGAAGATATTAAATATTTTCTTTATTTATAGTCTCAATATAATCAACCGCTTTCGCGTGTGCTTTGGAAACTGAATAAGTTTCGTTGAGACTTACTACAACACAATAAATTGACATGATAATCAATTGTATTCCTCCAAAATAGTAATAATTGGCTCTTCCAGAACTCTCAATTAATTTTATACTACCACAAATTCATCAACATCCATGTGGTGAATATCTCTTTTAAAGAGATTGTTATACCATTATGGTCATGGTCAAAATCATTATAGGCAAGATATGTTGCTTCTATTACTTTTGCCATGTAATAATCGCACTGCCATAATATTTTGGCTAATCACAATGGGTACGTGATCAATGACCATTCATGCCATAATAATGAAATTATTTTCTTATTTCATCTCAAACCTCCTTCTAGAGGTGAGTGTGGTATATTCAATACCAATAGCATGTTCATATTCTTCCAAGAATGAATATGTCTTCATAAATCAGATGTTGTCACATTCCCATCATGAATGGACCATAATCATCTATATGTGCTATATAAAATCTCACGTCAAATCGATGACAAACATTACCTTCACAGAGTGAAGGATTATTTTGAGAATCCTTATTATTCTCATTACTCAATAATGACGATTATAATTTATTCGTCTATTGCTACGTCCACATCCATTGATACATTCATAGTAGTAGTTTTATCTTCTTTCAGACTTATCACACACTGCTATCACATTCTCTAAAGGGAATGAGAATGGAGCAAATTCAATGGGATGAGTTTTCAATTCATTGCCCACAATCATACATGAATTTGATCATGACAAGACATAAAAATTTTACCACTTTGGGTGGTTATAATATCTTTCAAACTCCATTAGAGTTGCAACCAAAATTTATCGTCTTTGCTTATATTTAAAATCAAATTATAGAATGTCAAGAATTTGAAAGAGAAAAGTAAAATACTTACCTTAAATCCAGAATTTAATCATGAAGGAAGTTCATAGAACAGTTGACAATCATTATGCTCAATCCCAAAGCTTCTACTCAATTGGTTAGAGTGTCGTGCTGATAACGTGTTATGAAACAATAAAAGAAGAAGAAGAGTATTGCAGGGCAAAGTAGAGAGAGGAAAAATTCTCATTGATTTTGGGATGAATTACAATGGAATAGAACCCTTTATTAATAGGGAGAGGGTGACTTAGCCACCAAGTAATAAACCATAGAATCTCTCTAAATATAGACATTCACCGTAAATAGAATTCTATTTATAACAAAAACTAATTAGTTAGATTTGTTTATTCTTGTTAGCAATATCTTAAAAGGTGCAAGTTGACAATTTTGAGCCCTATCTCGAAAGTCACTCTATTTTTTCTTAGTTTGCCCTATTTTTCCTTTATTACATGTCATCGATTTACTTTTTATTGAAAGGGTTAAAAAATTAATTTACATGCATTAATATTTGGTTCGTGTAATTTATTGCATACATTAAGTGTACGTACAACATATATGTCAATTATTATGACATTGTCCATCGGATCATTTTTATTTCTTATTCAAGTGTTTATTGTATAAACTGTCTTTTTTAATAAACATGTTTTCTAGCTCATTATAGGAAGAGTTCTCCTTTTTTTTTTTTCTTTTTTTTTTTTTTTTTTTTTTTTGCTTTTTCGATATAAATAATGTTCTCAATCTCTATAACGTCAATTAGAATAAATATTCAAAGCGAAAATATTTTATATTAGAGGCTGCCAGCCTTTTATGCATACTTTTCAGAGAAGTATTATTCATAATTTTCTACAATCTCCTTATACCAAAGTAGAAAAGATGCGTGAATTATGATGCTTCTCACAAAGTACTCCCTCATAATCATACCAAACTAAAACTCAATTCTTTTCTCAAATTAATCAGTTAAATTTTAAAAATGTCCACCTGTTCTGCAGAAAGAAGGTCAAATGGCAAGAAAATCGCTCAAGGAAGCATTTGAATTAATTTTACGTTGTGCTCAATATATGTAATTATGCCATGATGCATGTTTTATGTTTTCATATTTGATTAGTAGAAAATATGGATACGTTCTGCGACAAGTGATTGCGCGGGTTGGGTATATACCATCAATTAGTTTAAAACATCACATCAAGGCTTGAAATATGAATATCTAATTAAATTATTCTGAAGTCTTCGAAGTTGTAAAGATCTATAAAATGATACTATTATTAGCAGACTAACAACAACAACAACAACCACCCCAATTTAATCCCACAAGTGAGGTCCCAGGAGGATAGTATGTACGCAAACCTTACCCTACCTGTCTTACACCATATTTGTCTTGATTTGACAGGGCCGATCGTATGTTAATTTAGTATGACATCAAACTTTGATACTGTTCAAAATATATGACACAATCTGCTAATAATCAGTGTAAATATAATGAAAGAGAATTAAGAAAATTAAAAGATACAGCTAGTAACTTGTGAGTCCACATAATTTTTCATTACTAACCCTAATCTCAAGTTCACTCAAATTGGGGAGACTCTTAAATAACTGTAGAGCGCCAGAAGTTGGACTGAATTTGTCAAAGTCCACAAGTAATGATAGACGCCACAAGCAGTTGAGCGCGAGAGAACGCATCTTAGGAACCGCATCTGCACCACAAAGCTTTGGAGAAATAAAACAATAAGAAACACATCACTATACGATATCCAAGTAAATAAATTGTTTGTTTCTTACCTCAAGGAAAAATGAATCCAAATGAAATTCCTCAATTGCAGGTGCCAAGCTAAAAAGAAGCTTTTCCAAAGTTGATCTTTCATCATGAATCAGATTATCCACCACTTTGTCATATCTAAGGATTAAAGATCTCAATTTTTTGCAGTTCATAAAGCAATTTAGCACGAGATAGTGAACATCATGAGCAGACAATAACTCCAAACATGTTCAGGTATTGAGTTCCATCACAGTGTAACAAGTCCAAAAAGACGAGACGGGGGGCTTCGATAACACAACACTCAGTGTTTGTGGTTGGCATAATGGTTACTCCTTCCAGGTTGAAGGTTTCAAGATTTGGAAAGCAAAGAAAAGAATTAGGTGGTTTGAAGACACCATTGCATAGGCACAAAGATGTCAGGGTTGGACAATTAAATACAGAAGAATGCAGTTTATAAGTACTAGGATCACCTGGCATGAAAAGAGATAGCTCCTTGACACCATTTCTGGTGACATAAAGCATCCACCTATCTATATCTGCATATGAAGTCGAACGTGCTTCTGGAATTTCAAGGTCAAATTTCAGAATGTCTCCAAGGCGGAGTAAGAGAATCTCATCTACTGTTTGTTTGAAGAAAGCTGGAGTCTGTACTGCTAAGCTATCAAAGAAGTGGTCATTGAACAGCAGACTTGGAACCATGGACCAAATAAATCTCCATTTTCTGGACAAGACATTAGTTCTTGCTCCATCTTTAGCTGACAAGAGCTCAACGATTCTAGCTAAAATGTGTCTTGGTAGATCACTGATTCTATCTTGTTTGACCCTAGCAACATCAGCTCTCTTTCTATCTGTTAGAAGAACTTAGAATTTAGTATCAAGAAAAAGAGAGAGAGAAAAAATGGAGAGAATTATATTGTATACCTTGAGTACTCATACTAAGAACAGAGCAGAAAGTGTCTTTTTCTTCTGCTATTTGCTTTTCAACTTGCCCTAATCTGTACAACAAAGAGGCCCAGTTCACCATCCTCGACATTAACCGCTTCACTGAGGCGCGCCTTTTTGATGTGAAGCGACAGTTTATACAAAACATAAATATATAACTAAAAACTCAATAACAATAATATATTAATAAATATATCAATTCAAAAATTAAAAACTCAATAGATAATCATAAACTAAAGGGGTAAATTTCACAAAATGGTCATATAACTATGACATTTTTTCACTAAAGTCATATAACTTTGTTTTCTAACACAAAATTCATAAAACTTTCAATACTTTACTCAAAAAGTCATAGTTAACCGGCAAAGACAATTCTCCGGTAATTTTTTCATATTTTACAATTTTTTATTTTTTAAATTCAATCTAATAAATTATGACTCAATTAAAATAGGAAATTTTACCTCCTATAGCAAAGGCATACACTCTATTCAAAGGCGGATTCGGGATTTCATTCTTATGAGTTCCTACCATAATTTCAAATTTATATGCAATAATAACTGAGTTCACAGTTATCTTGACATTATACTATCTTGGATCCCATAATACCCACACCCTACCATTCTGAGCATATTGGTAGTTGTTTATCCCTTCCCATTCAGGTGCAGTAGCTTTGGTAATTCTCTTGAAATTGTGTTCTTTCACTCAGGTTTCCATTAGGCCAGCTATCTTGACATTTTTGCTTTTGATATAGTTAGCCAATTCCTTCTGTTTATACCTTTTATTGACTCCCTTCACATTCCAGAATAGCCAATTAGTCAGCATGTTAAGTGTCCTCCTCCCCTGTCAAGGGTAGTTGTTGCACATCCCCAGTCCCACATGGTAGTACCTCAAATGGATTTCTCAGTTTTACAGCAGACAATAATGGAAAGTTTGTCAAGTTAAACTCGGGACTGCACTCCACTTGTTTCCCTCGATTGTGGTTACTCAGCATAACCTTATTTGGGCTACCTGGTGGTACTGTCTCATATTGTCCTTGGCTACTTTCAGGCCTGGAGCTTGCTGAAATGTTTGACTTTTGTTGAACCTCTGGTGCCTGTTGTTGCCTCTGTTGATCAGCTGGTATTGGTTGTACAGATAGAGTATCATTTTGTTGCACCTTTCTTTAGTTCTCTATTCCATAGTCACTTTCTTAGCTTCCCTTGCTTTCCCTTTTTGATTAATCTGTTGCTTACCCTCCTGCTTAGTACCAGTACCATGAGGAGCACATGAATGGCCAACCTTTTGACAATGCTCACATAATTTAGGCTTCCTCTCATAGTAGACATCTTGCAAGAATTGTTTCGCCTTTGGATCTCTAACCCAGATTTCATCACGCAAAGGTCTAGTCATATTAACCTCTATCAACATTCTGGCATATGAGATTCTGGTTTTCTTAGTTGTGCATTCATCAGCAAAAATAGGAGTTCCAATTGCACTTGCTATTCTACTTAGTGAATTAACTCCCTAACAGTTCAGTGGTAATTTTGGAAAATTAACCCACAGGGGAATTTCAGTGGGAAATTCCTCTTTAAAATCAAAATCTGCAGTCCAGGGCTTCAAAATTATAGGTTTATTATTGATTGTATACAGTCCAGAATAGTAAATCTCTTTCATATCAGCTTCTGAATGAAATCTCATGATGTAGTAACCTTCCTCGTAGAGAAATACATCTGGTTCTCTCACACTTGCCCAATTAACATTTATATATCTCTTCATAGTGTTATATCCTGGGGTATCTCCTAAAATGTATACAATTAAAGCACATTTCCACTTCTCAATCTCAGATTCAAACTCTTCCTTGTCCAATTGAATAATTACTTGCCCATTGACAATTTCCGGAGGAATATATGAGAGAGATATACCATCTGCTGCAGATCTATTCTTCTGGAATATGTTAGACCACGTTTTAGGGCCTACATCTTTTGTCGCTAAGGCAGGGTTCACCACTCCTTGTTCTTCCTCCTCAATTGTTACTGTTACATTAGCTACTGTAGCATGCAGACCCTGATCCTTCGGTTTTTCCTCCAATTTCACTTTTGATGCAGATGCTGGAGGTGTTGTGAGATCTAACTTCTTCGAAACTCCTGAGCTAGATGCACCCCCAGTGTTCTTCCATTGAGCTCTAGCGCCCGAGTTAAGTTCTAGGTCTGGTGTTTTCAGATCATTCTCCTTTTCTGTTGTTTTGCTATGTGAGGCAGTAGATCTTTCTGTGCTAGTAATGACAAATTTTTTGGGTCTTCCTCGTCCTCTCCCCCTCCCTCTCGCCATGGATGACCAGATTCAGCGCACGTTAACTAACGTGAGCTGAGAGCATTTTAGAGAGAGTAAAATTAAATTCACAATTACACAAGCCTAAAAGCAAGTACGAAGTACCCATAGAATGATACAGCAAATAAAAGACCTAAAGATTTAGTTTACTAGAAAAATCGGTATCGTTATTTTGGTAAAAATTGCATTGGGGCGCCATATTTGGTCGCCCCCATTTAACCTATACCCATTATTTTAAAAACGTTTAACTAGTACCCACTTTTTAAACAACTTCAGCCCCCTTTCTCCTCCTCCTTCTCCCAGTGATCTCCATATCTCTTTGGAACTTAACATTGATGTAAGAATATCTCTCCTTCTGTGGCTTCACGTGGTTATGTGTTTGTTGAATTTGAATCAGATAAATTTGTTCTCTTTAATAGCCTGATACTTATTTCTTGATTTTGTGAAATGTTTTAGGATGCTACTTGCTAGCAGATCTTTTTTCTACATAATGCACATAGTTGCAGAGAAGATGGGGTGGCGCTCGTCTATTGTTCTAGTGCACGATTTAGGGAAAACTAAAAGTAAAGTAATCAAGTTTTAAAAACTCAAGGGTTTTAAAAACTTCAGCAGTACATACTCAAGGTTTTTAAAAACTTCAGCTCTAGAGCTGAAGTTCGACAGTTACAAAATAAAAACTTCAGCTCTAGAGCTGAACTTCAGGCCCGGATACTAGAATGCTGAAGTTTTGCGTGATTGCCTTTGCTACTTCTGCCCCGTATGCTGAAGTTATGCGAAAAAGCGGGTACGCTTGTAATTTTTTTTGCAAAGCGGGCACAAGTTAAAACATGACACAAAAAGTGGGTATAGATGCAAATGCCCCATTATTTTGCAAAGAACGTAGGCAGCTCAACCACAGTTCAAATTAATACTTCCAATTTTTCATCCAACCATACAAGACATTCTTGAAATGAAGTACAACGGTTCCAAAAAATGTACGAAAATGGAATTACAACACAACTATCGAACCACCAATCACTTTCTTAGTGGCAAAACTAGAACATTACTAGTTTCCCGCATCACTTGCAACTACGGAATCTTCTATTTTGGTAACATTCTGTGCATCATCTGCAACTCCAGAATCTTCTATTTTGGTAACATCCTGGTTACTCTCTCCTATATGTTGACCCTCCATAGGCACATTCTCACTTATGGCTTCAGCATCCATTGTAGAGTAGTCACTGATAATTTTACCTGTTCCTCAACGTCCTGAGGAGTTGCATCATGAGTGGCAGAAGCAGGATTTTCCCCTGCACTGGAGCACTGGCCGGTCTCTGAAGATTCCACAGGCACGTCATCAGCTTCAATGACAGATGATGATACATGAGCAGCAGAAGCAGATTTTTCCTCTGCATTGGAACACTGGCCGGTCTTTGAAGATTCCACAGGCACGTCATCAGCTTCAACAGCAGGAGTGGCAGAAGCAGATGTTTCCTCTGCATTAGAACACTGGCCAGTCTCTGAAGATTCCACAGGCACATCATCAGCTTCAATAGCAGATGATGATACATGAGCGGCAGAAGACAAATTGGAAAAATTGGAAAGGGCAGACTAATGCAGTTCATTATTTTGCAAGGAACATAGGCAGCTCAACCATAGTTCAAATTGATACTTCCAAATTTTCATCCAACCATACAAGACATTCTTGAAATAAAGTAAAACTCGGTTCCAAAAATGTACAAAAAATGGGATTACAACACAACAAGCGAACCACCGATCACTTTCTTAGTGGCAAAACTAGAACATTACTAGTTTCCCGCATCACTCGCAACTCCTGAATCTTCTATTTTAGTAACATCCTGAGCATCACCTGCAACTCCAGAATCTTCTATTTTGCTAACATCCTGGTTACTCTCCCCTATACAGTTTTGCTGACCCTCCATAGGCACATTCTCACTTATGGCTTCAGCATCCATTGTAGAGTCGTCACTGATCAGTTTCACGTGCTCCTCAACGTTCTGAGGAGTTGCATCATGAGTGGCAGAAGCAGATTTTTCCTTTACATTGGAGCACTGGCCGGTCTCTGAAGATTCCACAGGCACGTCATCAGCTTCAATAGCAGATGATGATACATGAGTGGCAGAAGCACATTTTTCCTCTGCATTGGAGCACTGGACGGTCTCTGAAGATTCCACAGGCACGTCATCAGCTTTAATAGCAGATGATGATACATGAGTGGCAGAAGCAGATTTTTCCTCTACAATGTAGCACTGGCCGGTCTCTCAAGATTCCACATGCACGTCAGCTTCAATAGCAGATGATGATATATGAGCGGCAGAAGCAGAAGTTTCCTCTGCATTGGAGCACTGGCCCATACCTGAAGATTCCACACCAGCTTCAGTAGCAGCAGATGTGCTCTACTTTTCTTCCGTTTCTGCCTTGGCCAGCTCAAGAGCACAATTCTTTGCTGTAATTTCTTCCTGCATTTGAGCTTGTATTCTGTACTCATCCATGAGATGCTGAATCTTTTCCTTATCTGCTATGAGGTCACCGTACCTTTTCTGTAAAGTACGTTCAAGCTCCTTTTGTTTCTGAACTTCTTCCCACAGATTGTTGATCCTATGTGATGCTGCTAGCTGCTCTTGTTTTTGTAATGTTCGGAAGCATTCAAGTTCTGTGCTTGCTGTGTCCATTTGCTTAAACGTAGCCTCTATCTGTGACCAAAGTTTTCCAGCTCGCATCTGCTCATCCACAATGAATATTTGTTAGCTTGAATTTATAGCTTAGATCTCAACTCCGAAAACC